TATAAATATATATATAAACACATCATGCACAGTTTAAGCAGTTTGAAAATGCTTGGTAGTTCTGAAACACAAGGCCTCTGAAAGACTGCATTTTACTAGCTCTGAAGATCAAAGAAAACTGATTTACTGAATCACGCTAACAATAAACCATTGAAAATATCTGCAAGAATTTTTACGGCTTCTAGGTTAAAAAAATAAAATGCATCGGAAACAAGTGAGCAGTAACTCAGGCTTAAAACTCCACCCACAACCATCTACAAATCTACTCCTATAAAAATTGAAGAATGAAGGAATAACTACAACGGTTGGATAAAGTACGGATGATAACGTGAAATTTAGTAGGACAACATCAGCATTAACTTTTTTGTTTTGGCTAGATTTTCATTTTTTTAATACTTAAAGCTGATGAAAATACAAATCTGACTTTTTAAACTGACTTAAGAGATCTTTGATAACTATTCAAGTATTCTATGTAATACTAACAGTTTTAAAGAAAAGGTTATGAATAAAAGCAAATTGCAAGAGGTCTTTCAGATAGGTTAAAGGTTCCTCTTCTAATACACATACTGTAAGTGCGTCATTAAAATTGTGCCTAAAAAACTTCAAAATTCATGCATCAGATGCTGTTTTAGATTAAAAAAACCCAAACTCTAAGAACACCTACAAGTACCAATTAATTTTATGGCATAATGTGCCAGGCATTATCCAGCTCGACCACTTGCTGAGTTCTCTTAGCACACAGTGGATTTCACTAAAGAACTGGTTTAAGCAAACCTACAGCAACAAGAGATTAAAGCCTGCAGCACTTCTCTTGAATAATCCAGTGGCTCAAATTTGAAAACAGAAAAATTTAAAGCAAAGAAAAAAAAAAAGCAAAAATTTTTGGTTTAAGAAAAAGATAGTAATGAAATTCCAAAATAAATCTACTATATACTATAGAAGACTAAATCATACGAGGCATTATTAGCTTGGCTGAAGGTTGTTTGGTTTTGAGATATTTGTATTTTCTCAAAAAGTTACTTTTTGCTCAGTTAGGAAGTTCATGCAACATTAAAGGAGCTCAACTGGATGATCACCACAGTCACTTCTGACATTGTTTGGGAGTCTATAACAAAGGCAGACACAATGAAAGTGTTGATCTGAATTACGTGCTTTCTGAAAAAAAAAAGACGTAACAGAAAATTGACCCAGAACCAAAGTTTAAAAGAACTTCCCTGCTTTATCTGACTTTGAGAACTTTATGGTGAGGAGGAAGAACTACTCCTTCCTGGTACTAACAGATAGTAATGACAACATAAACTTCTCCCTGAAGATTTCATACAGCTTAAAATCCAATCTTGAACTTCACACACATGGGTAGCCAACCCAAACACAAGCTTCAACATTTTCTAGACCAAGGACTCTATGACACTATACTAAACAAAAATAAAGTGAATCACAAATAAAATATATGTTTTCAGAATTTAGGAGGAAGGTAAACTACCAGTCTAGGAAGTCTGATAGTATTTCCATCCTAGCTTTTATTTAGTTGCCATTGATTGACATTTCAAATTTTAAAATTAAAACATTGGATCTTTGATTCAATGAAAGAAAATTCAATACCTTCTACAATTCTATCATCAATATCTTGGCCACTACCATAGGATTCTGTCAAATACCTGTAAAGCAAGATAAAAATATCAGTATCTTTCATGTGTCAGGTTACCTCAATTCAACAGGGTTTAGCATGGCTGTGCACCATCCTTACTAACCATTTACTAAGGGGAAAACATAATGATTAGAAGTTCCAAATACCTATTATAATAAATGCAGTTTGACTTTTTTTTTTGTTAAAACAAAAATATTCTTGCAGTCTTCAGATTTTTTGAATACTTCAAGATATATTAGGAATATCTTTTAGACATATGGAAATCGCACTTTTATACAAATATAATTAAACTATTACTGTACTATCTGTATTTATTAATAAACTTAGTAAATGCATAAGGTTTCACGTCTATGTCCTGAATTAAAGACTGTTTCCATGCATACAGTTTCTGCATTCATAACTGTTAGTGTTAATAAAAATCCCACATGGAGACGGTGAGATAAGAAATTGCAGGTGCATAATTAAAGTAAGATTTAATTTAGCAACTGAAGAAAGAATTTGAAAATAAATCCACAATGTACTTGCTCCAAAGTTGCAGCTTTTTTAATTATTTTTTTTTCCTGCGCACAGGGCACGCTTTCTGGAAATTCACAGCTAAATCTGGGACAAGTTAAAAATGAAAATAGGGCCCTCCAAAAAAATTTTAGGAGCACTAACAGAGCTATATTAGCACCTTCTGCTTTTTGATCACACAAGGGAAAAACCTTCCTGTTTTTAAAATTCAATAATGTTTTGTACACAGACTCTGTGGGCACAGCTGACAGGGAGAAGCAACAGCAATGATATTTGCCTGCTATGTAATCAGAACTTCCTTTGCTCTTCAATAACCTCCTCTGAGAGCACTCCTCAGGAGATATTCTCTCAGTGCCTGCTGTCTTTTACTCTTAGCAGGATCAAAGTTAGGATGTCCCCTGTAAAAATCATTACCAGCACCTTGCAGTAATTCTTAAGCTATGTATTAAAGGTTGCACGGGGCAAAGAAGAGTAGTATGAAGGACAGACAGACAGCTGTGACAATTCTTTGTGGGATATGGAACATAATACTGCCACTGTACATAAATACTGGGGAATACATGATGTCAGAGAAAAGGGAATTAAAGATTTATACAGGGAAACAAGGACAAAGGGGCAAGGGAGCGTATTCACGCTGCCTATACTGTGCTTCCCTGGATAATCAGGCCACCTACAATATAGGTGAATTTAATGGAGCAGCGCTCTCCAGTTACAGTGTTCCAGAGTGATATAAAGCAGTTAAAGTATAACTTTATACAGTTGTATAACAAATGTGGTCATAGAAGAGGAAGCAAAGGCTGACATATATCAGTAATATGGCCTCCACGTAGTTTAGTAGGCTTGATTTAGTATCAGTCATACACGAACATCAGTAAATAAATAAAGCCCATTATTCAATCTTATTCAGTAAACTAGGATAGAGTGTATCACAGAATCCCTGCAGTCATCTCAAAATCAAGAGTTAAAAACCCTGGATACTCAAGCAAACTAAAAAAAACTAAGAGGGGGAAAAGAGAGAAATGCACATGTATGGCAAAACCAACAGTGTCTTGCAAGATTCAGTTAAAATGCCTAGTTACATTTTTATCTACCACAATACCAGATGTGCAATACCAAGACGACTGCATCATAAACCATAATAACTACATGATGTCACTACAACTGAGTTAAGGTTTCAGTGAGGATGTAGCTGTTTCTGTGTATTATCAAGTCAGCATTTAAGTTTAACCCAACGAATTTCTTGTATTAAAGTGCATATATGTACCTTACTGAATAGTATCTTAAACCTACTGATTATCTTACAATTTGCTCTGTCTGTATGTCAACCAAATGCATCAACACAAGAGATTCACATAATAACTTTGGTCCAAAATCACAAACCTCAAAACAAATTTAGTGTTTTCTGTCTTGCCAGCTCCCGATTCTCCAGAGACTATGATGGACTGACTCATCTTGAGCACTTTCATGTCACGGAATGCTTTATCAGCTTAAAAAGAAGAATACGTTAAACATGACAAAATTAGTATTGTGGAGGAATTGCAAGCATAAAAGTTAAGCTAGAACACAAAAATTAAAATGTAACGTTTTCAGGAATAAAAAGTAAATCTTTACAATTGAGTGCATTACAACTTATTGAAGTCCGTTTCCTTTCAATTTGTATAACAGCTGCCCACCGTCCAACCCTGACACGTAAGAGCTTAAAGTCTTTGGAAACAAAGACCTACTCAACTATATCCAGGACAAAATAGAACAACCACCTAGAACTAAATCTCTTGAATTAAATGTATTTACAAAATAGTAACCAATCTTACTTTAAGATGTTTTTAAAGAGAAACTTCCAGCTGTACTTTGTAACAAGTAACATCTGAGACAAGGAAACTTGGAAAAACATGGCTTTTACACAACAGGTACCGAAAACCCAACTATCTATACATTTGATTACAAAACAAAGTGCAGCATGATGAGAAGGCTTTTAACAAGTCAAATGTTGATTTGTAGTTTTAAGAAAAAAATTTCAGAAAAAACTGAAATCAGGTTTATCGCATTAATAACATTTAAATGTGCTTTCTGCCTATAACACAAGCATATAAGAAGAAACGGTGCACGTGCTCTGGCAACATAACAAAAGGCAAAGGCAATCACTACACTGAAAGACAGCGCCAATCATAATTACGTCATTCTTCATTTGTAAAATCTGAATTTCTTCCTTTTTTTTTTTAATGGTTATAAATTATATTTAAACTGCTTAGACGTAAACCACTGGAGGTGCAGAATAATCATAATAGGGTTGCCAGAGCTGCTAATTTCCGAGTTCTTCAAACGGCATACCAAGGATGAGAAAATTTGCAATTTTAGCAATCAGTGGTTTTATTTTATAATACTTTAAAGTAAATTAATTACTGTTACAGGTGGCAATTTATAGATAAGAGCAAATTATTTAATGTTTGTTTTATAAAAGACAAATACAAGCTCAATACATACCAATAGCAAAAACATGTGGTGGCAATGTTCCAAGTGATCTACCCTGGTACTTTTTAATAGTATCTGAAGAATAAAACTTAGGTATATCAAAATATGGATTCACTGCAATAAGAATGTTGGCTACATAGGTCTGTGAAGAAAACATTAACAGCAAACTATTAGCCAGTATCCAACCAAGTGGTTAACAGCAATTTTCTATTACTACTCAAGACTGTAGCCTAAGTATAACAATAACATTTAAAATTCTCTCCAGTTAATGCAGACACAAGAAGGGATATATTTTCAGAGTTCCTTTAATTATCTTCTCAGGACTTCCATGAAATTCTCTCAGAAGAATTTCCTAAGCACTGAGCTGTGGAGTATGTCCTGAACTTGACCTTTCTCCCAATCTCCTTTTAAATTATTACGTATTGTCCAAGTTACTGGATCAAGGATAGGACACTACAACCTCCTCCTCAAAAGTGAATAAACTAAGCTCCTGGCTTGCATAACGCACTCTCCTCCAGTGAGGAGGATAACCTTTCGATATCTAATGGAGGCAACTCAGTAACGACTGACAGGATCCTGCCTGGGAACACACTCAAGGCAGGCAATAAAGGCATTCAGCCGAGAAAAATTAGCTATGGCTGTTTTCACAGCAAGAAATACAGAAAGCAAATGTTCTTTCACTGAGAAGGAATTTGAGAATAATCTCAAACCAAGACTGCTTTTTACCTTTCCATCGGAAAAGGAAGACCGAAGATAAGGTTTTTTTTAAGGTTTCTGAAAAAAAACTTTCATAGCTTGGTTATAATGGCCAGATTACACACAAGGAAGAACAGATGTCTCAATCACAGAAAAAAAGCAGATTTGCAGGAAAAGGTCTGAAGAAAATCAAATAAAACTTCAGCTTGAATAACTTATTTGGTTTGTGCTTACTGAGTATATCCCTAGACAACTGAAATTTGGACACTATCGTGATATGATGACAGAAGGCTGGATCACACACAATATATTAATTTTCTTAGATGTTTATTTTCAGCACTTACTTCACTGAAGGAAAATATTTCTTCAAGAGCTGCAAGTACTAATGTTAGTTTTCCTTTTAGTAACAAGAAAAATACTGTTAAGCAGCACTAAACAATAAGCAAAAAAATCTGTTGATTCAAACTGTATCTTAAAGTCACAAGGGGAAGGGTAGTTAAAATATAAATTAAACTTTTTTTTTTTCCCTTTTCTCCAGAAGATACACCTGCTCAGGACAACACATTAGCAGTACTTGTTTACAATGAAAAAAGGCTTTATGCATGCAAATACTATCCTACCTCATAACTAGTTCAGATTTAGAATTTTACTTCCTTGTGGTTTGTTTTTTTTGTTTATTTGTTTAATTATTATTTTTCCAGAGCAGCATTCAAATGGCCATTTTTATTTATTTATTTTAAAGCTAGTGCTTGATCTTAAGCCATAAAGAATTTATAGTTATGTAAAGTTGACTGCAACAAAAGAAAACAACTATACTTTCCTTTTATATTTATTTAAAAGGGTTTAACTCCAATTCATTTTGTAACAGTACGCTAACACAAAAATTGATTATTTTAACACAGACACTTAAAAAAATTTGTAGAACTGTTCTGTATTATCACTAGCCAGCTTTCTATTAGGAAAAACAAAACAAGAAAGGAAGAAATAAAACTCTTGATCTTTCTTCTATTTCACAGCTGTCAGTATCCGAGCAGATGGCAAGGACGAAATGTAATTTAGTCAGAATTCATTAAGTACAATTAGGCAATTTGATAGCAATATAAAAGATTAAGATGGACATCTGAGCTAGGAGGTGTCAAAGACGGCACCTGTTTGCTTCGTTCAAAAATAATGAAGAAAGAAAACCATCTTTGTGAACAGCTATTCTACTGGCGAAGTTACCTAAAGAAACAGACCTTTGTGATGCAACGCTGTGCTATGGTTGCACAAGTCATGTAGAGAAAAATCTATTGCTCTGCCTGGTAAAAATTAGCTAACATTAACGCGATTAACATGATTCAGATCTCAAACAAGGTATAATGTTTAGAAGAAAAAAAAAGGGGGGGGGGTGGGGGCACGCCTAAAACCTCCTAACCTTCCAATGTTACCGTTTGTTTAGTTTCTGTTATAGGAAAAAAACAGAATTGGAAACACTTTTTTTGTTGATTTTATGAAAGGACATCTACCATTAGACTGGTTGTCAAAACATGCAATACTTACATAAATTCTGTCCTTACTGTACCGAACTTTGATATTGTGAAGGAGAGTGGCCTCATTTAAATACATAAGGGAACCTGCAAGTAAAAGACAATCATATACCATTAAGTGCTCAGGAGCTTCATGTACAGACGAAAAACAAAATCAGGATTAAGGAGAATTTTACTTCCCCTCTCTTTGTTTCCACTGTAATCCTATCGATCATTTCTTTATACTGTCTTGAAGCAGAACTGCTGATGCAATATTCACTTTAGAAACCGTAGACCTGCTCTTTACTGTACAAGTGGAGTTACAGAAAGCTGCTGAACAAAGAAAGAGTAAGACTCCAGGAGTCTCAACACAGGCCCTGCTCAGCAAAAGCTCTCTTTTACCAGCCTCAGACAAACACAGCGCATCTCCATCCATGATGGCCTTTATGCACAGAAAGCGGTGCCTACCAAAATCCCTAGCACTGACTGTTTCCCTCCTTCCAGCTCCCCCCTCCAATCTCAACCACAGTGTCCCCACGGTAATGCCACCTAACCAACACACAGAATAACTGCTGTCTCCTGGTGATTTTTACACATTTATATTCACTGATTCAATCAGGAAATACTGTCTAGAGGCGGCAGCAAGCATAATCGCAATGCAAGGCACCAGTGCAACCTTTCATGTTTCAATTCTGAATTTTATTGCTACTAGTACTCTTCAAAGAAATTGTTAGGGGGAAAAAAAAAAGTATTTACACACCTACACCTAGCTTTATTTTTTTCCTTAGCTCATTAATATAAAAGAACCAAACCAGCTCTCCTGAAATGTTAAAAGCTGGTGGCTTAGGGCAGCGAGTAGGCACCCACAGAAAGCTTCAGACCATACGGGTTCACATTCTGGCAAAGCCGGTCCAAAGCTATAAAGCTCTAGAAAGTGTTAGCAACCTTAATTACAGAGGCCATTACCAGTTCCAGTTGTAATATTAAAAACATTACCCCTAAAACTACGGAGGGCAATACTCATTACACAGCCTCCATTTTCAAATACACTCAATCCTCTTTTTCTCACTGCTTAAAATTCAAGTGCACACCACTATTTTATCTAGTTACAACTGACTGACTATCATACTGGTAAACATTACAGTATTAGCAACACTTAAAAAGTTGTATATACCTGACTACCATTGATGGAGTAAGCTCTGTGCCTGTAATAGTAACTGCTACTCTGCACCTCACACGAGGACCACATATGCACTTCTCATCTATAATGACCAGAGTTGTTTCTCAAGTTGGACCAATACCCTTTCTTAAGGGCTCCAGCAGAGAAAAATGTATTTCAATTTACTCAAACGCGCAAGAAGGGCTGCCAGTTCTTATGACCTGAAGTCAACCTGCCCTGCCACCTCACCCTGCGAGGACACCTGGAGCTCAGAAAGCTCCTTCAACGCTCCTTCTGCTGATACTGGCAAAGATACTGGAGCTTCTCAAGAGCATCTGTGGTTTTGTTTTCAATCTTTTACCTTTCCTTCCACAGCGCACCAAGGAGTGGCTCTGCCTGCCACCGCCTACACCAGGTCAGCCTGAAGCAAATTTCACCAGCCATTCGCAACCTCCCTCTGGCTTGCATAGCTCCAATGAATAACAGCCCTTCCTTCCATTACATGACTAAATACAGCTTTGCTTCAAATGGTTGGAATTGTTCACGCTTCCTCAATGACCTTGCAGCTTCTGAGTTGTTTAGAAGAAACCATCTTCCTCCACAAAACCCCTTGCATCCACATCCCTGCGTTGGCAGAGGCACTCAAGCCATGCTTTAGCTTTATGCTAACCAAAATCTCCCTTTGGATCACAGCAGCTTTGAAATCGGGCCCGTGCACGACACCTTCATGAAGCAGCAGGCTGGCCCCAGTCACCACGTCCCCTCCCCTGCCGCCCCAGCAGACCCACACCACCCAGTAACCACACGGTTGCTGGTACGGGAGGCAGCCGAGAGCAGGCACTCGGCACTGCACAGCGGGGCTGCTCCTCCACCCTGCCCAGGCACACTCAATCCATGCAGCTCAGATGAGAAAATGGCGCTGGGACCACAAATTGCAGGTCTGCTTCCACAGACCTCTTTCTACCTTCATTTTTTTTAATAGGGTCATCCCAAGAGAAAGAGACATTACAAGGAAATGGGCCAGAAACAGAAACTCTTGCTTGCTCTAATCAAATCTAAAATCTCTTTTGGCCCTTGTGTATGCCTGGGGGGAGGGAAGGGTGTTAATTTTTGAGATTTGCTGATTTTTTAAGTCATTTGGATTCACTGTATTGAGTTGAGAAACTACTATGTAGTAGTTGTCTACATACACTTAAATAAACAATCCTCTCCCTTGACTGTATCTTCATAAGAACCACTCAGGCTTTGCAGTATGTTTTAAAGGAAAGGTCATCATTTAAAATAAAAACTTGGTAATTATCTAAACAACAAAGGACCCCAGACTTCAGTGGGTCCCCAGTAGTCTCTTAGCAAGCCCTTGTTAAAGCAGTTATACCTGCAGACTCGGTGCATAATGGGAGCTTGTTCCCTGAGGGAATGTTGCCACCTTCACTCAAGACATGCTAACTAAGGCTTATGTCAGCAACTTCGAAATACATCTTCTTTAGAATAAATCCTTTAAAAGAGGTATCCATATCCAGAGGCAAAGGAAGTCACCAGAGAAAGAATTCTGAATATTCATATGGCTCATGCCTAAATATAGCCAGCATATGTATGTGCATTTAATAGTCCACATCTTTACTTATACACACATCTAAAGTTCACAGAAGTGAAAGCTAGGAAATATCAACATCATATTTACTCACACTGCTCTCCTGTGCACATAATGAAGCAGGGTATCATGTAATAGCAAGGCTCTGCCATCTGTAGATTTTTTTTTTAAGATCCTTCTCTGATACCCTGCCTCCCTTCATTTTTTTAAAATTGGTTCATCCCAGAAATTTAAAAAAAAAAATAATCTTGGCCATAAAAAAAATAAAAATTGCACATATGGTGACAGCCCCCCCAAAAATCGGGGTTTGGGGGGGGGGGGGGGGTGCGGGACAGGGACAGACAACACACAGAAAGAAAGTAGTAAATGCTTTGTCTCTGTACTGTTCACAGTATTTACTGAAAAGTCATATTTGAGGAAGGGCTAGAATCTCAAAAAAGTGTCTCTTGCAGCTAGTGCATTTGGGATCTGGAAGACTAAGGGTGCAAAAAAACACTGTTCAGCAAATTACTTCCTAGAAGGGAGTTAATCGCTAAAGCATAGGTTGGAATGGTAAGTGTATTATTAACTAGCTTTTCAGGATTTTTCAGGATAGTATTATAAGGAGAGACTGAAAGCACTCAGTATTTCAGAAAGTTTCTTGTTAAAAATCAATGATGCTCAGCACAAATGCTCTCTGATAGAGAAAGAAAATGAACTTGGGTTTCACACATCCTGGAGATAAATCTCAACTAGTGAACAAAAAATGAGAATACATTAGAAAAGTCTCAAAATAATGTTTGATACAGAAAGGATTACTGGACAAAGCATTTTTAAGGTTTATATTTTACCCAGTAATCCAAAGAAGACATTTTCTCTGATAGGAAGACTGGTTTAACTTCCTTGAATAGTACTTTGCTGGAATCTCAAATTATTTCCATAATCTCACTCCAAATTTCAATCCCCTGACTAGGACACTGAGGTGCCAGGACATCTCGGTAAAGTCACTGTGGCAGATGCACTGATTAAATCCATTTCCCTAAAAATCATCATGTGCAGAGAGCACAGATACCAGCTTTGAAAAGTTTCAACCCACGTAATGTTTGCAAAAATATAAGCAACTGGAAACAAGGCTACCAGCTTGGTTCCACCTGTAACAACACTGCACCATCTAAGTCAGATCATAAGCCTTGTTCCTTATGGAGGAGCTGTAACAGCTGTATCACCTGTCATGCAACATAAATACTATCCCTATTCCAAAACAGGAATCACCTAAACAACTTCCAAAGTCCTAGCCTGTATTTTAAATAAAGAACAACAGAAGACACTTTTGCCCACAATTTACAAAGTTACCAGTATTCTCACCAACCAGTAAACACTGAAGGATATGTTTAAAAGAACTGCCTTCTTCAGGTTTTCAAGACAGGAGAGTCTGTGCGATTTGCTCACACAGAGCAACAGCAGCAAAATTTTTGTTTAACAGTTCTCTAAAAGCTGATGCTAGCACTTACTCATCTTTGTCAGTACTCTCTCCCCTCTCCCCAGATCTGAATACCATATTTGTTTCCATATATCTAACTAGAAAATATTTAACACAATAAAGCCCTGAAGATCAACACTGAAGTTTATTACACAAGTTCACCTCAAACTCCTCCTCCAGCAGCACTCCTTTATCCAGTTCACTATAACCTATTTCTTTTTCCAGTGGCCCTAACCTGTTCACATTCCTGCGTCCAGTTTTGGGAAGGTTATCTTAAAATTTTTTTTCAATTATCTCTACTTCCACAGCAATGCTATCTCAGAAATGGGTTACATGCAGGAAAATGCTGTACAACACAGCTGCTGATAAAGCAACTAATTCTTTTGCTGCACTATAAAAGATACAGTTAACACCCATAATGCTGAATGCAGTTGATCCTGATGCAGTTAGGTGACATCTGATATATATATATATGTGTGTGTATATATATATGTCAGGTAATAGTTTTATGCAGGAATAACTATGACTTCCTCTAAAGTGTTCAACTGAAAACTAAAAAAACATAATAAATGATGTTTAAAATGGGCTTTAAGAAGTTTAAAGAACTAGTAGAGGTCATACATAAGTTCAAGAAAAGAAGCAAAACAAAGACTACAAGGAAGAAACAGGAAGCTTGTAAGGAAACAATATTCTCTTCTATACAGATGTGTTTTCCAAATGCATTATTTACTTTTAAATTCATAACTTACAATTATCTTCTACATCCTTTTTGCTGTCCTCTTCCGCAGGAAACACTTGATTGATAGCAGCCTGGAAAGTCTGTTTGATGAAAAACATTAACATTTTGAGAATTCCATAAAAATAGAAATTTAGTTCAAAGATACCTGGTGCGATGGTACAAGTGAGTGCACTGTAACTGTGCATGGTTTAAAATAAAGTTGCTAGATTTATATTTCACAATTGGAAATTTTACTGAGTTATTAGAGGGAGATAGGAGCTGCTGCATTTACATTAGTACACGACAGTATAAAAATGTAGTCACTGTAATATATAATTTATTGCAATAATATTTGATGCTTGTTTCCAAAATTGCATGTAATATTGTAGTATTGTGTAATATAAAAAATAAGGGTAAAAAAAAAAAAGAAAAAAGTACTGCAATGGGAACAGCATTGTAAAGGACACAAAATTTCCCCAGTTTTGTGAAGAAGCACAAAGAATAAAAAACAAATTATTAGTTCAGTCAAAGAACTGTGCTGTCATTACCATATGCTGTTTGAAAACATTCCTACTTAAAATATAAATGTTCAATACATAATAGCCTCTGTATCCCCAAATACTGTAGCTTTGGCTGTTCCTTGTTCGTTTTTTTTCTTCAATAAATCAATACTAAAGTAAAATAAGACCTTCCTTCAACCCTTGCACTCCCATTATACAAAACAGCCATTTATAAAGTATTCACATCCAACTGGAAAAATTCCTAACAAAAGCAACATTGTTTCTTCTTTATTCTCCAGAAATCATAATTTATATTCTTGTAAAAAGGAAGGAAAAACATCCTAGCAGACATGCATTACAGCGTCTGCACAAAAATACCTATTGTAAGAGGTAGGTTTTTAATTATACTTTTTTGCTTACCATAGTAATAGCTTGTTTGTACTATCTATGAACAAACAAAAACCCTGTTGTACCAATTAAACACGATAGCTGCCACGCTGCTGCAGGCAGTCTCCTTTTCCCCATGGAAATAGAGACAAGAAGTCTAGTCTAATATTTGAAAAGGCAGCCAACCGGATCTAAAGAATGACCTTAACAAACAAATGTGTTTGCTTGTTTAACATTGTACTCAGCAAGACAATCCCAAGAGAAAGATCTCACATGGAAGTTCAGGAGAAATACAGCAACTTGCTTCATCTTTGCTTCAGTGCAACAGCCACAACATGTGAGCTCTTGTAGCTTACACGATCACGAACAGCCACAAATTCCAACTCCCTTTGAAGTGGGTAGGGTTAAAAATGTCTCGGAGCAGAACTAATTGCTGCCAGTCAGCAAACAGTAAGTCTATGACACCCCTTCCCTACAAAGTCATCATAAAGTATGCAATTTGTAGCTATAATAAAATATATTTTGTCATCCCCTTATCAGGATCTAATGCAGAAAAATACGCACAAGAAGCCTTCCTAAGAGAAACGGAGCTGCTCAATGACGTTGGAACGTCTGGTCCATCAGAGCAACCTCCTCAAAAATATCCTTTATCAGAGCTTGGTGGAGCTGTGGAGGACCTGAACATCTTCACCTACCTCAGAAAGTTGCCAGCTGCTATTCAGAGTTTTAGCAGGGCAGAGATTTCCCCCCTTCCCTGTCTCTTACAATACTGTAGTTAGAACATATTATCCTAATAATTTTCTCTACAAGTTTGTCAATGATAAAGGTACATCTCACTGGGTGAAGATACATTTGAACACAACAGTTTCCCACTTAATCAGTTCACTGTGCATGAAACAGTGAAGAGATTTAGAAAAAGCATGACTGGCTTCATGAAAAATCTAACTTCACTTCTTGTTCTTGACTCCTGACGTGTAACACAAGTTTAGCCACTGCCAAAGACAGAATTATTTTTTTTCCACAGGAGAGAATGAACATGATGCCCAGCTATTCTGTAAGACTATTCACAAATCTCTGATACGTCAATATTTCATGGATCTAAAGCCAGCCATACCAAATCTATCCCAGAAGAGGAAGGAAGAGCTTTTTCAATGTCCTCACCAGTCAGCATTCTGATAAAAGATAAATTTCAATGGAAAAAATAATGGGAATTCATGCTGTATTATGTCCTCCTTCACGTGACAGGTATGTCACAGTTGGACTACTGCTTTATGTAAGGTGATTACTTGTTATGTAGGTAGTACGTCAGCTAGATGTGCAGAGCTCTGAGTACAGCCAATTACAGTTAAAAACTAACACATTAAATAGGAAAATGGCCAAGGTATCCCAGGTCTATCAATAAAAAAAAAAAAAAATCTAAATACATTCTTTCCTATGTTGTCCCATTTTTTTAAAAAAAACCTTTATTGTAAGGAGAAAACACTTCAGGCGTTTGGTGGAAGACTTTTGCATTAAGACATAGCTCAGGACAAACTTGTTCTAAGAAAATGGAGAGTATCACAGAATCACAGAATGTTAGGGGTTGGAAGGGACCTCTGGAGATCATCTGGTCCAACTCCCCCACCAAAGCAGGTCCGGCTAGAGCAGGTCACACAGCAACACGTCCAGATGGGTTTTGAATGTCTCCAGAGAAGGAGACTCCACAACCTCTCTGGGCAGCCTGTTCCAGTGCTCTGTCACCCTCACAGTGAAAAAGTTTTTCCTTATGTTAATGTGGAACCTATATATTAATCTCATGAGACACTAAAGTGGTCTCAGGAGGCAAAACAGAGGGGTTAGGGGTTTTTGTGTTTTGGGTTTTTTTTTTTCCCTCCTTGTAATGAAGCAGCCCTCGAAATCCAATGGCAATCTTAACTATTCCCCCAGAAACTAGATGAGTGAAAAAAGATATCTTTCCATTCAAGCAGGATCTTCTTTCTACCATGTAATCAAATACGTGTAATCATGCCTCCCTTTATACCTTCCAGATACAGATAGGAGACATCCCTACTCACAGCTGAATTTCACAAATGAACCTAAAGGAGTACAAATGGTGTGTAAGACAGACAAGAACATGTCTCATTTGTGCAAGCAAGCTGTGCTCACTGCTAAAAAAAAAAAAAAAAATACCCTTAGCTTGAAAGACTGAACTTTGGACATTCTGATCCTTACTTTTAAAGTACATTGATTCATTTATACTTAGCCTGGAAAAAAAACCTTTCTGGTTATTCACAGCATACCAGAGCAGGTGCCCCATAAAGGCCTCTATGACCCTTCAGACCTGGCTCAGAGCCATAAGGTGCGTCTTAGCTGATGGCAGGAGAGGTGTCAGCAGGTGCCTGCAGCACTACAAGCCTCCTCCATGACTGCCAGAAACTCATTACTGCTGATGCTCTAGGAAATGCCTTGCCCCGACTCCCCAGTGCCACGAGGGTCTCAGGATGGCATCTCAGGAGGCAAGTCCCTCCAAGGGATCTCTTCCTAACCGCTTTACTTAGATTTGCTCCCTCCAGGAAGAGAGTCAATTCCCTGTTTGGCAATTTCACTGTCATCTGCCTTCTCCCTGTTACAGCATAAAGCAGCACAATAAAATAAGATATATGCAGCAGGATCTGAGGTTAGGATTCCCAGTAAGTTCAGAAAAGTAAAAATGTAAATGCAATACTAGTTGAGTTTAACAACCAGCTGCCTTTCTACCTGCCTCCTTCCTTGTACACCAGAGTGTGACTGCTGGTGGGACACAGACCAGGGCTGCCAACCCCAGCCCCCAGTCCGGAGCCCATTCTCAGGGCAGTGCTCCAGCCCTAGGTGGGACCACCCTCATTAGCAAACCACTCTCCAGTTTCTCGGCTTTCTTTCCAGACCTGGCATTTATCAGCCTTGCAAGCCGATGATCTAGTTTTCAGGGAGTAGCTCCCATCATGTAACACATGCATCCTCCGTTTTGATAACACGCTCTGGCAGCTTGAATTACTCTTCTTTGTGCAGTGCAGGCTGGGTGACTCAGATGCCCACCTCTCTTTAGACACCCAGCCTCCACACAGAAAGGTAAATGCTGTTGTTAACTCTGTATGGGCTGCAGTACCCAAAATCGCTATTGCTGGTTTATAAGTAAACAGGTGCATTGGCCAACCAGCTTCACCCAGTCTGGACTGGGTAACTCGGTTTTGTAATACAAAGCAATCTACAGCCACACTGGCTTCGGGTCCTCTGTCCTCCCGCCGCTGCTTGCTGTCCTCCTTCATTTTTAAGGTGGATCCATTCTCTGACCTCGTTTGCTGCATCACGCACAGCTCAACTCGATGGACCGAGCTGAGAGGGTGCCACCCTGCAATGCCAGAGCTAGCTACGGGTGGGGAAGGGAGGGCAGGTTTTAAGACATCATGGAACTGTTGCCTTGCAGCATTTATTGCAGTTATTAACAATGTATTTTAATTTAAGTGGTATAAAAAGGCAATAATCAAACATATGCATACACATTTCCTTTTCAGCCTGTGATCTCTGGTAAGCTACCAGAGCCTACAGAGAATACATATGACATGTTAATGACCCAGATTAAAAAATAATAATAAGTTACACTGCCCGGATATGTTTACACGATCAGGTTACTCCTCTCCTCCCTGTAATTATCATGGGCAACTCTGGAGCTGCTGGATCACTCCATCTTACTGAACAGCACTTTTGAACTATCATTTTAAGCAAACAAAGTTGATAATAATGGGTATTAACGCTGACTACTTCAAATTAAGTCCAAGCGCACAAGAACAGAGCCTTCTTGAAAAGACAAAAAGCAACGAGAAACCTTTCACTATAAAAATAAATCTATGACACCTTGAAAAGGCTGAGAAGGTAATCAAGAAAATGTTTCACTCCACCTCTATTAACATACGTAAGTTTGATAATTAAAAATACATGACCATAATCTCTATGGCATTTAAATTGTGAAGTGTTTGTTCCCTTAGATGAGTGAACATTAGGCCCTTAATTGACCTGCTTAATTATAAAAAAAAAATCCGAAAGCAGAAAAACAGACTTTCTAGCCAAAATACATTGTTTGTTGTGAGCCATGAAGCAAAATATTTGTATTTTAGGATCATTTTTTGTTCTCAAAAAAAAAAAAAAAAAAAGCTCCCTGAAAGGAGCATATATTAGAAATAAATAGAAACTCAGGAATCTCCTTATTGCCCATTTCTGTTTCAATACACAGACTTTTGCTCTTCACCAAGTCAGAACCATTTGGGGATATAAACAGGAACAGCAGTGGGGGTCAAAATCATTTAAGTCAGCTAAAAACTACTTAGCCATACCTTTGGAATATTTAATATTCTTGTTTGAATAATTTTGCTCTTCCTGAAACTGAAGAATGCATACTACTACTACTAAACCTACAGACTTTCTCTCTCACACACAAAAATCAGACCTTACACTTGCTTTATATTTCCAAGGAAAGCAAAATCAACTTCCTTTCCAAGATGCAGAAAAAAGAAAGCCTATAAACATTCCTGCAAAAGGAAGGACTGCTGTATAACCTTTTGACCCATGACAAGGCATTCTCTACTATTGCTGACATGAAAAAAAGGAGTTAGAAAAACCATTTTGCTCTTTCCATACCCGAAGATACAGAAAGGACAAAATCGTTAGAAAGGGCACATATCACATATTCAAAGACCAAAATCACAACTTTTAAAACAGCACCTGATATTAGGTTGGACTTGATGGTCTTAGAGGTCTATTCTAACCTAACGATTCTATGATTCTATGATCTTATTCCAGCTAGTAAAAACCAGGATTATGACCATCTGAATTAGGGTAATTGATAGATACAAGGTGCTACCTGTAAAATCTGGTATTTAATTATGACGTACTGAATCTGAAAGATTGGAACACACTAATTAGGATGAATTAGGGCTTCATTTTAAAAGATACATTTATTTTGCCTTCAATTTGATGCACAAATTCCATAGGACCTTTGTTTGACATTGTGTTACTTCTCAAGGTAACCCCGAGGTAAGAGGATTCATCTTCATCAGTCTAACAGTAAGACGTCTAATCTAAGCCAGAGCCTAGCACACTCCTGTAAGGACACTCCCTATGCACATGAGGGAAGAGAAGCTAATCTCAACAGTAGACTCTTAACCAGTCTCTAATTTAGAAAAATAAAGAATACAGTACTGAATCAAATGGCTATTCAATGGAGATTCAATCCTCCTCCTTTTCACGAGCACATATTCAACACACACACAGATAACTGACAGAAAGTATGTACTTCTTATCAGTGGGATGTTTCATTTGCAAGGCACGCTAAAGCTAAACAAAGATCCCTAGCCAAACTTCCAACATAAAACTGATTTTCCACTCCTTCAGGCTGCATGTAATTCTAGATACTGGCAAAGATTTGGTCTACAAGTAAAACAGTTTTTGTAAGGTTTTTCTCTGTTCCTTTGTTTGCGAGGCACTTACCTTGCCTTTCTGATTCAAAGGTTCAATAGTTAAGTTGTCAGTGCCAATGTCCACAATCATCCCCATCTGAAACCCATCAGTTGGGTGTGGAGCCCAAACGGGCTTCCCATCCTCCATTGTGGGGGCTATCCAGTATTTCCTGTAAGAAAAAAAAAAAAAAAAAAAAAAAATTGTATACAAATTTAGTAAGCTATCAGGATTCGCTATACAGACTTTAGTTTATTATTCAGTGTGGAAGAAACCAGCCTCAAGACTGGAGCTAGTCTGTCAAGATCTTTTTCCAACCTGTGACACTTTGCTTACAGAAGACATCCTCAGACTTGAGTATGGAGAAGATTGAAGAACAGATCGATTTGGGGTCCACAGACTGCTCCCTGCAGCTCTGTCCACAGATTCCCTAAATTGTGAACCAAAAAGGGTGTCTGTCACAAGTACAAGACAGATCCAAAGCTAAGACTATACTTGGAGTGTGTATACACGCATGTATAGACTTACATCATACATACATGCATGCAGTGTGTCATATGACTAATCAATACTTGTCAGTACCTGATCTAGTGTGCAAATACTTGAATTTCTGTAACAGGCACATGTCGAGGCACACGAGCAGAAATCCAGTCTCCTCTCACTTGAGAGCGCTAGTTAATATTCAAGCACCGCTTCCTCCAAGCGGTGGATCCCTATGAGTAAGATCAAGCAAAGGAGGCAGCAGGCCTGCTTGGATGAGCAAGGAACTTCTGGAAAAACTCAAAGGGAAGAAGGGAGTTTACAGAATGTGGAAAAAAAGGGACTGGCTACTTCAAGGAATATAGGAATGTTGTCAGAGAACGCAGGGACCCAACGAGGAAGGCTAAGGCCCATTTGGAATTAAAGCTGGCAAGGGATGTCAGGGACAACAACAAGGGCTTCTTCAAGTACTTCAGTAGCAAAAAGAAGACTAGGGAGAATGTGGTGGGTGCCCTGGTGACGGAGGATACCGAGAAGGCGGAGTTACTGAATGCCGCCTTTGCCTCAGTCTTTACTGCTAAGGGAACTGGAGCAACTCTTTTATGAGGAAAGGCTGAGAGACCTGGGGCTCTTTAGCCTGGAGAAGACTAACAGGGGACCTTATCAACACTTACAAATATCTAAAGGGCGAGTGTCAAGAGGATGGGGCTAGGATCTTTTCAGTGGTGCCCAGCAGCAGGACAAGGAGCAATGGGCACAAACTGGAGCACAGGAAGTTCTGCTTAAACATGAGGAGGAATTTCTTTACTCTGAGGTTGACAGAGCCCTGGGACAAGCTGCCCAGGGAGGCTGTGGACTCTCCTTCCCTGGAGATATTCAAAACCTGTCTGGACACGACCCTGTGTGACCTGCTGTAGACGGACCTGCTTTAGCAGGGGGGTTGAACTAGATGATCTCCAGAGGTCCCTTCCAACCCCTATCATTCTGTGACATTAACAAACATGCTCACTCTTTTCACATGGTGTTTAAATAACCCATGAATATATTCTGTCACAATTGACATATCATAAGCCTTTGAAAGACTGATCTCTGATACTGTAACATTACAACTTCGCCTCTTTAAGGGACACTAACCTTACTTTCTATAAAAATATGATATGAAAATTGTTTCAGAGGAATCTATGATGTGCTAGTGAAATAGATGCAAACGCCAAGACATTCAAACCCTAGGTTCCTCAAGTTATGTAGCTAAATAAGCTGCTGATTAAAAGGAGTATTTGATCGCATGCACTGCTCATTGAGCTAACCAGGAAAGTTGCCAGGACTGGCACACTCTGAATGGCTACTGGTGCCATTTCAAATATGCTGAATTAGTCTCTTTTTAAAAACAAAACAAAACAAACAAAAAAAAAAAATCACAAACTGCTTCATAGTTCTTACCCATACTAATCACAGAGAGTCCAGAAAGCTTGAAAGGTTCACTTCTGGCTGTTTCTTACTCCCCTCCAAAATTCATTCACATACTAAACTGACATGTTTTAGTGATTCCAAAACTTATTGAAAAAGTATCTCATATTACCAAGGTGTAACTTGCCCCTCTCAGCATGAACAAAACGAGCCTGCCAAGTAGCGAAGAAAACACTGGCAGCAAACTTCAAGAGTCTGTAAGCTAGGAAACACGTCCCACTTTTTTTTTTTTTCCCCCCCACATCTGAAGGAAAAAGGAGATCCAGAATTTCTCACAGCCAACGAAGGCTGCAGACCCCTTGGCCATAAGCAGCAGCAAGGAAAAAGAATCATTGGCCCACCAGAAAGTTGTACAACCGTGCACAGAAAAGGACACTCTTGTCCCACAGACGATCTGTCACGACATGCTGCACATGACCTACTTTGCTGCCTCCAAAGACTTTAGAAGGGTTTGAAGAGAAGGAAAAGGCTTGCTGTGACCACTTTGAGAATGCTGCTGGTCTTAGCATCTTATTTGTCAAGAATAAGACAATTTGCTGTTAACTTAAATCTGAAATAACAGAAGATAAAAAGTTATTCTAAAGCAAAGACTCGGAATGCAAAGTCAAATTTTTTTTAATGAAGTAGTGTTCTGAAGAGATTTAAAAAAAAACTAGCCATACAGAACTTAATTTAGTGTTGATGTCTGGGTTTGTGTTTAATTTTACTCAGTTAATCAGATTTTTTTTCCCCCTGAATGCAGTTCAGGATGTAAGAAGCTCATGAAGATTTTAACAAATGTTTCTTGTGTATTCTACTCACGCAATTCATACTATTTAAAATGTTGCATTTGATACAGAAAAACTTGGGGTTTACTTTTCCCCCACGAATGGAGCAGATTAACTTCTTTTAACCACTCACAGAAAGTTCATGTTCTAAAACCTCGAGTGTCACATTAATTTCTATTTACTTCAAACCTTTTACCACATCCCATGAACTCTACACGACACCATCATCATCATCATGTGTTGCCAGCATCATACAATAAGTTCTGTAAAATAACAACGGTATTCACTGACAATTGGCTGTTGTCATTTTTTCTTTACTTTAGGATACTGTAAATGAGATCTAGTATACACCACAGTTTTATGGATTTTTTCTTCAGCCAGATCTGACTTCTCAGTACAAGTGCCATAGCGGGCATAGTTGCTAAACAGCTGAGTTTATTTCTAGATATAACCAGGCTTTCATTTCTTCACAAGCCTATCATTTGCTTTTAAAATGCTAGTTCAAATTAGTACTTAAGTGATAGGTCACACAACCACTAAAAACAAGGCTGTATTCTACATCCCAAGTAGCACGGCCAGGACTCCGGATGTAACCATGTCACACAAGAAATAAACCCTGAAATTACTGCCAAAATTTCTGCCAACAGTTAGAAACCAGCCTCCCCAGTTAGCATCTGGAGGCTTCTGCTTTGCTTACTGACACAGGCTTTTGCATTCTTACATATTCTTAAGCCTACTTCATGCTTTATTGATAAATCACGATAGGAAAGTGTCACGAGCTAAAAGAGTCCTCTTGAAGGACAGAGCAGTGATTGAATTCAGCCACCACCAGGAAACACGTGTTTAAGAAAAGTACCTGAGGCTTCACAAGTGTCTAAGAAGCCTTTGGGTGAAAGCATCTAAATATGAGTGTAGTAGTTATTCACAGGACAATTACTTTTAACACAGTTAATTCTCAGCCTGAGAATTGACACAAAACCAGTTGTAACATTTTGGTTTTGGTACCACTCCATTTCTGTCACCTGGGACTCTCACAGGCAGCATACTAAAATTGGATACCGAAACCTATCAGGTCATACCTGCTCTATTATCCACCCCTCTATCTGATGTATATGCCATTGCCCTTGAGACAGATGAACGAAGTCTATCCCTGAACCAGCTCTTGAATAGGTGGTTTCCAGCCCAGCATTTTAAGGTGAACAGAAAAAAAGTTCAAAGTTCAACTATCTGATACAAGTCCTTTAGAAAAAGAAAACAGCACTTTTTTAAAACATTTAACTACGCTCTGCTGATTAAAACACACATATCACAAAGTACAAGCTGGCAAAAAAATAGATTTGGATGAGGAACCGTCAAATCATGTTTTCTGCATAAAAACAGAGCTGTCTGGTTACAGATCATTCATTAATAGCTATCAGCGGGAACAAACTTTTTTTTTCCCCATATGCAGCCATCTAAAACCAACCTACATGCAGCCAACTTCACTACACTGTTGAAAGAGCACTCTGTATCTGAAAACTATGCGAAGAGACTCATATCCAGGCTAAATACACTAAGGCAACAGATTTGAGGGCAATACCACCAAACACAAGGTGTCACCTGAATGATGCTTCCAAACAAAGGAGGCCAAAATGAACCATCTTCCACATTTGTATTTGTATATATGTACTCAATATATATTAAAGATTAAAGTAGCTGATTCTAAGTTGCTAGGTCATTTTGGTCTCCAAAATTAAGAGTTCTTCTAATACGAAGGAGAGAATTCACAAGGGTTATGGTTATAACCAGGAAGCCAGGTGCCTTTTTCTACAGCCAACAGAAAAAGAGACCAGGAACCCCATACTGGAGTTTGACTCTCCATTGAGCAGGAGAGGGACAGTAATAAAACAAGCCTTTATCTGAAGTTGGTAAACTTAACAGCTATTCCTTCAAATGTCAGATTTTATATGTTCATAATTGGGGAGCAGTAATAGACCTTGCCTTAATTATCAGTAATAGTATTCAACACATTCAGCACTGGCTAAACACTAATAGCCAGCAGTTCAACTTGCAAGACAAAACTACACTGTGATCCCCAGATTACAATAGCAAGAAAAACACCCACTAGCTGCTCTTTAAGTTCTTCCTCACTACTGTTTCCTTTTTTGGAGAATGCTGGACAATATTGTTTCTCAAAAAAAAATATCTATATACCACATGGAGTATATGAAACAACTAAGAATTCCTCAGTTGACAGTTGGTACATTACCATCCCACTTATGTTTACTTAAATATTATTGATTTTAAAAGAATGTAATACAACTACAGTTTGATTTTGTACAGTATTCGAAAAGAAATCAAACACTACCATCTGGTGAAAGAATTCTAGAAAGGCAAAATATAGTAACACAATTTAAAACTTGTTACCAGAGCCCAGAGGTAGGCATTTGCATCTTCTCATCCTATTTACTACCCTATG